TTACGCCCACAGTAATTTGATTGAGTGTAACTGAATCTTAAAAACAGGTACAATAGTGCAAAACATATATCTAAAAGAAATGTTGCCCTAAAGTAACTGTCTAAAAGTTTTCAGTGAAAAAGCAGTAACCATTTCCAGGTCCAGTACGTTGCTACAGTTTACATTAACAATTTTTGAAGTGCCTTTTATTATTTTCACAGGAATAAATTGTATGTAAAAATATTCAAGGCAGAATCGGATCTATTTTCACATAATCAGACTAGAACAACTTTACGATGTAACTGCCTTCTTACATAAAAAATCCATCAGAAGTGAAGAATAAATGCGAATCAAGTATTTGAAGCTAGTTCTAGCAATTTCTCTACAAAAACCTCCATCAAATCCTTGGAAATATTGTCAGTTTCTGAAATAATTTAAGTTCAAATTTTTCTTAAATTTTGCATTAAAAAGCTTTAGTGGAAGGGTTAATTCCTTTCTACACAACACAATTGATCAGTTGCCGTAAATGTTACACAATAAAATAACGCAAAATATCAAAACCATTTGCGTCATCATAAACTCCCCTCAAAAAAAGTGTATACACAGTAATCATCGAAAATATCTAGAAAATGACCAGGTTAATTATTGTATACGCAACAGAATCGAACATTTGCAGTAAATGCTGCATATTTTTTTCCGAGGACTCTAAATAACGGAAAATACTAAAACAATTTACGCTATCACAGACTCCGCCAAAAAAGTGCATTTGCAGTAATCTCTAACACGTCTGGAAAAAATTAGGTCCAAATATTTCCACTACATTTGCTAAATAAATTACATTTATTATTTTTAAAACTGTGTTAAATATTGCATGGAAAAATTTGGAGGAAGGGTTAATTCTTTTTTACCCAACGTAGTTTACGAGTTGCTGTAAATGCTGCCAAACTTTTTGGAAGCCTATAGATGAGGCGAAATATTAAATCCTTTCGCGCCACCATAGACTTCAAAAAAAAGTGCACACAGTAGGTAATGCTCACGGTAATACTCTTTTTATCAAATTTGTTACAAAAAACACTAAATTGATTTAAAATATTTAGTGATTAAAGTATTTAAAATTTTTCCAAAAATTACATTAAAAAACTGTAGTGGAATAGTTTCTAGTGTTTCTTTAAAGAAAACATATTTTCTTCACATTACAGTTGTTCATTTGCGGTCATTGATGCCAACTTTTTCTGAGACCTATAGATGAGGTAAAATATTAAAACCTTTTACGCCACCATAGATCCCCAAAAAAAGTGCATGCACAGTAATCGTCTAAAATACCTGGAAAAATAAAAAAACACGATTGA